AAGTAAGAAGATAATAGGAAGAAAGAGAAAGAGAGACAGTGAATAAAAAAATGGAAACAAGAAACTAACTCTCGATCCTGATGAAGTGAAAATAAGAAAAATTCCAAAAGGTGGCTGAAAAAGAACGGGACACAATTGGATTTTTTAAAAAATACGATGTTTTAGAAATAAAGAAAGAACAAACGTAATTGATAAAAAGGAAAGAAACGTTAAAGAAAGCTGAAGAAGAAAAAAGGGAAGATGGTAAAGTAAAAGAAAGAGAGTAAGAGGAAATGAGTTGAAAAAAGATGACTGGAAAAAGACATAAAAAAAACAAAAAAAACAGCTTGAAAAAGAAAAACGGTGGGAATGGAAATAAAAAAAGAACATTAATGAGTAAAATAAGAAGAAAAATAAGAGAAAAATAAGAAGAAAAATAAATAAAATCGAAAGAAAAGAAAAAGAAATCTTTTTTCTTGTCGAGTAAGAATTAATTCCTGTCAATTTTTGTGACGCGTCGATCACGAAAACGCAGGTGCAACTTTGTTTTTGAGGATCACATTTTTTTTTATTTTCTTTCCTTTTCACTCCTTTCGATGTTTCTGGCATTTCTTTTGTTTTTAAATGTCTTCTTTTTTCTATGAATTTCTTCGTTTTTATTTCATTTTTTTAACATATTTAAATCTGTATTCCTACTAATGGTCTTTTTTTCCATTTATGTCCATTTTACGCGGAAAAATATTTTCACTGCCGGAAATGTTTGACAAATTCGCCCGAGAAGTCTATAGTGTTTACGACTAACTTGACGAAACTAGATCAGATTTGCTAACATGTTCTACGCAAGTTGGATTAAAGTTTATGATAAAATATATAGATTTCATAACATTGGCTGCCTGTCAGTCTATGCGTGTGTGCGTGTGCCTGTGTGTGCAAAAGATTTATTGTCATCGTGCAAAATTGCTAAATCACGCGTTAAAAAGATAATAACCATCGACTTTTTTCATAATCCAAAAGCACCTAATCCAAAGCTCAAGTGTTACTTTTAAATTGGTTATGATATATGACACAGGAAGTAGTAAAAAAATTGGTTATTATGAATGAAACAGGAAGTAGTAAAAAAAATTGTTTATTATGAATGAAACAGGAAGTAGTAAAATATTGGTTATTATGAATGAAACAGGAAGTAGTAAAGAAAAATTGTTATTATGAATGAAACAGAAAGTAGAAACAAAAACGACAAATGAAAACAATAGTTTATTCTACTTTCGAAATAATGATCCCGAAAGAAAAAAATATATTTATCCATCGCTGACAAATTCCTATTGACAACCATATTGACTAGATCTTGTTCATAGCAGATTATAATGAAATATTGTCAGAATTTCTTCAATAATTCATTTTAATTGGCTTAATAAATACTGAAGGAAGATAACATGAAAACATAGTAACAAAAAAAAAAAAAAATGTAACTTACCCCCGAAATGGGAAAAAAAAAAATTATCCAGAAAAAAATCAGCGATTTGAAATAGGCAAAAGGAATCCGCAGTAATTATAAAACCGATTTTCATTGGCTGAATTCCAAAAAGAATCGAACCAAAAATTCTGATCAAATTTCACTGGTTCAAAAATAGAAACCGGGAGGCTAACCGGAGGGTGGATGATCATTGTTAGTTGGGGGTCACTTGCGGGGGGGGCTCTGATGTTTTTAGAGATTCAAACCTCCAATGATACAAGCAATCACTGACGAAGTTTCCCGAAATACTACAAGAGGCTGTTTCAGATATCATTGCTTTTCTTGTGTATTTATTTTTCGGTCTTCTTAAATTGTTTTCATCTAAGGTTTTTTTTTTCTTTTAACAGATTCTAGATTTGAGTGCAAAGATGTTTGAATGGAGGAGTGTATGGTCACGAGCCTGACAAATTGCTGCGAACCGAGAACAAAATAAAATTTTGTGTTATACAACAAATAAAGATCCTTGGGTAGATGAAAACGCCACCTAAAAAAAATGACCTATGTATTCATTTGGATGCGTTTGTTTAGTGGCAAATCAACTTCTATTGGTTATTTAATGCTGAAGTCTAAATATTTAGTATGAAATTATTTTTCAGATAATAATGGTTTTAGTGATACAAGTCTTACTAATTAACCCATAGCTGGGGAGAAGAGATGGATTCATACCTTTCCCAAGGGTATTTGCACGTAAGTGAATATAACAAACCCAACTAGAATCAGAACTCTGCACTCCGATTAACAATTCCCAAGCAGACATCCATCCAGATACTGACTAGGCTCGACGTTGCTTAACTTACGCGACCCGCCGTTTCAACGTGATGTAACCGTAAGCCTATGTATTAATAATTCCGAGCCATTATCCATTACAGCGCCTGCACATCCAAGCGTATAGCCCCTGGTACTCCCAAGCGGTTACCCATATAGGTACTGACCAGGCTTCACTTGCTTAACTTCAGTGATTGTACAAGGACCAATGTTTCAACGTGATATGGCCATAAGCCCACAAAAAGGCGAATATAAAAAAACCTAACTAGAATTGGAACTTGTCTCTCCGATTAACATACTAAGAGGTTACTCATCAAGTTACTGACCAGGTCCGAGGTTGCTTAACTTCGATGATCGTACTGGAGTCGGTGTTTCAACGTAATGTGACCGTATATTCCGTGTTAACTGGGAAAACGAATTAACTCTAAAATGGCGGGTAAAGGTCGCACGAAGATGCGTGTAAAAACTGGTTAAAAAACGAGAAAAATCACTTTTGTAAAGAGGTTTTTTTTAAGTTTTGCTGTTGCTGTAATTTCATATAAAAACAATAAAAAATAATATTTTAACTCTTTTAGATAAAAATAAAGAAAAAGAAAATAAAACGAATGTTCTTTTTGCTCATTGTTTGCCTAAACATATCACCATTTTTTTGTCTCTTTTTTTCTCCGAGAGACATGCATGCAAGCTTTCATTCACTTGTTCTGACAGCTTTACTCAGTTAGTTATGTGTTATGCGTGATACATGACTAACGAGGCAGATTATTTTCCCGCAATAGGTTGCCATTTATTTCTGCGGTAGACCAGTTGCCATCCAAGGCTATAGAACCTGGTCTGTCCTGCTATTTACCCATACCTGGGGGAGAAGAAGAGGATTCATTCCTTTCCCAAGGATATTAGCACGTAAGGGAATGTAATGGATTCGACTAGAATTCAAACTCGGTTCTCCGTTATCGCATTTCCCGACGCCATACGTTACACAACCCGCACATCCTCTCCAATGAAATGGAGGCAGTAGTAGCAGTAGAGTAGGATTTCAATGAACAAACAGTCACTCAGGTATGTGTCATGAGTGATAGACGCTTAGGCGATCATGACTGACGAGGCAGATTTTTTTTCCTGCAGTAGGTTGCCATTTCTCTCTGCCGTAGACCAGTTGCCATCCATAGCTGGAGGGAGAAGAATAGGATTCATACCTTTCCCAAGGGTATTAGCACGTAAGTGAATGTAATGGATTCGACTGGAATTCGAACTCGGCTCTCCGATTCCTTAATCCAATCCGCTATCCATTACTCCGAAGCGAATACTCTAAAAATTGAATCAATCCAAGTAAATAGTAACATCATGAATCCTAGAATTACCGTTTTTTTTTTAATTGAGTTCATCCCAAGTCAGGCAGTAAAGCCACTAAGACACAAAGTGTTACTGGGTATGGAAGAACTAGAAAAAAGAAACGTTATTAAGGAGTGAGAACAAAAGAAGAGTAATCAGGAGGACAGTAGATAGCGACTGATATTGCATTTAAATTTTTGAAGATTAAAGTTGGCTGGAAAACATGGAGTCAGAAGAGTATTCCACAAGCGCGAAGTACGAGAAAAGAAACTGTTAGCATAGAACTTGCGGTTACATCTACCTAACTATTCACGAATGAATGATGTCCATAAGTGATGATATCCTTTTGGCTTCCAATGAAACGTCAATTTAGGTGATCGCTTGGGAATACCTGCTGCTGTAAGCTTGGATGTGCGGGTGGAGTAATAGATCGGAATTGTTAATCGGAGAGCCGAGTTCCACTTCCAGTTGGGTTCGTTATATTCACTTACGCGCAAATGCCCTTGAGAAATGCATGAATCCACCTCTTCTTACCCCCAGCTATGGATTAATTAGTAAGACTTTTATCACTAAACCATTATTTTTTTTTTTAAATCTTACAATCTAAAAATAACTCTCGGCTTAATAATAATCTGAAAAGGGTTGATAAGCCGTAAAAAATGAATCAATCAATGAAGCATCGATTGACGCTGTTCGTCTTTGAAGGGTTAAATCACTGGTGTTAAAGTACGTGTTGTCATGATGAGTTGGCAATGAACATTGCTTCAATCTGCGAGGACCTTATGACGCTCAGCTCATCTAAAAACGAAAGACCCATGTCGACGAAGAAGACAGAATAATTATCGGCTAGAAGAGAAATAAAATCAGACGAATAAATATTCCAGTTAGGCTACTAGTAGAATAGCAGCCAACGTAGGACAAAGGGAAGAAAACTTTGCAGAAATGTCTGAGACTCTAACCATCGTAATGGTGGAATTAACCATTTCCATACCGGAAATGGTCGACATTCAGTGAAAGAAGAATTAATGTCACTGTCGGTTGGAATTGGAAAAATATTTTTCTTAAAACAGCTATTCAGAGACTTAGACTCCTCAAGATCTCTAATTGTTATGGCCCTTTCTCGTATTGCTGGGAATTTCCTTCCTAACCTTCTGTTTTTAGTAGTGTGGAATGTTAACAACGTCATTAAAGTAATTGAATATTTTTTATTCTAGTAACATCTGCGACCCAGTTTTGTAAGTGATGGCTTGGAAAGTGTTTCATGTGTTGTGGCTTTTGTTATTTTTGTGATTCTGTAGCGCCAGTCTATAATATTGGAGGATGTATTGTGTTCTTTAAGACAAAAGTATTCATTCTCTTGATGCCATTTTATTCGTTATGAGACAACAGACGGGCAAACATATCCGAAATAGGATTAAAAATATGATAGATATATCGTGAGAGAGGGAGAGAGAGAGAGAGAGAGAGAGATGAACAGATAGATAGACAGATAAGTAGGAAGAGACTGTGATAGATAGATAGATAGATAGATAGATCGTGAAAGAGAGAAATACGAACAGATAGAGAGATAAGTAGGAAGAGGCTCTGTTAGATAGATAGATAGATAGATAGATATATAGATAGATAGACAGACAGAGAAGATAGATAGATAGATAGATAGATAGATAGATAGAAAGACAGACAGACAGACAGAGAAGATAGATAGATAGATAGATAGATAGATAGATAGATAGATAGATAGATAGATAGATAGATAGATCGAAAGAGAGAAATACGAACAGATAGAGAGATAAGTAGGAAGAGGCTCTGTTAGATAGATAGATAGATAGATAGATAGATAGATAGATAGATAGATAGATAGATCGTGAAAGAGAGAGATATGAACAGATAGACAGATAAGTAGGAAGAGACTGTTTAGATAGATAGATAGATAGATAGATAGATAGATAGATAGATAGATAGATAGATTGTGAAAGAGAGAGATATGAACAGATAGACAGATAAGTAGGAAGAGACTGTTTAGATAGATAGATAGATAGATAGATAGATTGTGAAAGAGAGAGATATGAACAGATAGACAGATAAGTAGGAAGAGACTGTTTAGATAGATAGATAGATAGATAGATAGATAGATAGATAGATAGATAGATAGATAGATAGATAGATATCGAAAGAGAGATATGAACAGATAGACAGATAAGTAGGTTAGATAGATAGATAGATAGATAGATAGATAGATAGATAGATAGATAGATAGATAGATAGATTGTGAAAGAGAGATATGAACAGATAGACAGATAAGTAGGAAGAGACTGTTTAGATAGATAGATAGATAGATAGATAGATAGATAGATAGATAGGTCGTGAAAGAGAGAGATATGAACAGATAGACAGATAAGTAGGTTAGATAGATAGATAGATAGATAGATAGATAGATAGATAGATAGATAGATAGATAGATATGATTAGACTTACTGTTAATATGACTCTACTTTCAACGATATACAGACAGACAGATATGTCAGGATGTCTCCAGAGAGATCGCCCGATCAGGTGTCCAGGTAGACAGACAAATTTTAACGAAGGCCGATACATTTGCGAACCCAACAATTCTGTTGCTTTCATCTTCATCCCAACTTGTAATAAGAGGCCTTTTCCAATTTGTACGCATTTCCGACGTCAAAAGAAAATAACTTTGTCAGGTCAAAGGTTACAGGCGGCTAGTTTCAACTTAATTAACGGACCAAAGCATCGGGTCCGTCCCGATCGACACGTTCAATCATTCAATAATGTATCCATTAATTCTTTCAATTAAGATATCCCCCCATCCCATAAACCCCGCGATTCCCTCTAATCCCAGAAACCACGCCTCTTTCGCGACTTTTCTTCTGAATGATGCTGATTTGTGCAGGTATCGTTCGTGCATTGCAATGCCTACCACCTTCCACTGTGGTAAATCTTTTCACGGCTTTTTAAAGTGCAGCCTCTTGTTTGGGCGATTTCATTTTACCAGTTTCGCTGGGTGTATATGCTTTTATCTTCCAGGCACGTTAACCATAGCGTAAAGCTCAGCTCGAAGTACATGAAAAATATATAGCACTGAGCGGATCAACTGCTGCTCAGACAGAATCATCATTCAGTCGCTGTAAGCATAACTTTTTCGGGAGTTAATTTTCCCTCCCTCTGTCGAATAATGCAACACGATGTCAGATTCTCCAATAAAAAAAGGCAATGCTATTGCTCAAGGTGCGTAATAAAATAGAATATTGTAAAAGACAACATTACTATTACTTAAACATAATGGTCCACTCATAAAAATAAGGACGTTTTCCTTGGCAGGATAAACCTTATTTAGATCAGGTATAGGCAACCTTTTATGACCAGTGGGCCGCATGATCTACGGTTTATCATAAGGCGGACTTCACTGCTAAAAAGATTCAAGGTAATTTTTCGTAGTAAATACCTCAGCTACAGATGACCATATGCGTAATCATATACCTTAGAAATGGGACAAAAGTTGTTTTTGTGAGGGGGGGGGGAATATTGACAGTGTGATTAACACATGTCGCTAGTTATTTCTAACTTATTCATTTGAAAATAAAAAGAAAGTATAATTATTCTACAGACAAAAATATGAATGCTTCCTGTTTGAAAAGCAAAAGATGTTTACACGTATGGTCTTCCTTAATGATAATCGCTAATGGTTTAAAATGTTGAAAACGTTACTTTCCTCGGAATTTTACAAAATTCAAGAAACATTGTATTTAAGCATTGTATATGTATGTGGTTATGTATGAGAGAATGTGTAAGTGAACAAGTGAGTATAAAACATCCTCCATATTCGCCTGATATCTCTCCTACTGATTATCACTTAGTCAAGCATTTTGAACTTTTCACACACAATAAAACATTCGCCAATAAGGAAGAAATAATCGAAGCATTTGAACTGTTTATCACAGTAAAGGATGAATTTTTTTAAAGATGGGATCAAGAATTTAGAGGTATGTTGGAAAATAATCATTCATCATCAACATGGTGCCTATTTTCAACTAAATAAATTAGTTATTTAACATTTCATAAGCGTTTTATTCATTTCCTGTGTGGGAACATAATACAGACACACAAACACTGTTTCAAAAATTTTGTTCGAGAGATTATAATCTTGAAAATAAACGAAGAGAAAGAACACGATCGGGTTATCAGACATGAGTAATTGAATGCTTTTGGTTGATCAAAATCAGAGAACTACAATCCGAAAACTTGCATCAGAAATCGAAACATCTCGCAAAACTGTTTCTCGGCGCTGGATAGATTTCTTCCGCATCAGCCGAATGAAACTCAAAAAAACACCCCGTCGCTTTGAGGTGTGCATCTGTTGCTTTTCCCGATTGAAAAAAGAACCATTTTTGCATCGAATCATTACATGCGATGAGAAATGGATACTCTTTGTCAACATTAATAAAGTAGGACAATGCTTAGATGCTAGTGGATCACTAAAATAATGCCACAAAACTCCACTGCACTCTAAGAAGTTAATGATAAGTTTATGGTGAAATTTCAAATGGTTTATTCATTATTTATTCTTACCTCAAGGGAAAACAATAACAGCAACCTCGTATTGTGGAGAAATTTGTGTATGCATGATTAATTGAAAAAGAAACATCACAGACTTATGAATTAAGGACGGCCCAATTTTGCTGCACGACAACGGACGGCCACAAGTTTCTCAATCAAGTGTTCAAAAGCTGCAGAGCCTGAATTATGAAATTTGGAATCATTCTCCATATTCACCTGATATCTCTCCTACTGAATATCATTGAGATTTTCATACGCAATAAAAAAAATTCTCCAATAAGGAAGAAGTAATCGAAGCATTTGAACTGTTTATCTCATCAAAGGATGAGAATGTTTTTAAAGATGGGATCAAGAATTTAGAGGTATGTTGTAGAACAGACATTCATCAACATGGTGCCGAATTCAACTAAATAAATTAGTTATTTAACATTTCAGAAGCGTTTTATTCCTTTCCTATAAAGTGCATCATTTCATGCGCGGCCCCATAATAAAAGAGGGGAGGTTATGGAGAAGAACACTGAAAAGAGGAGGCGAGAAGAGCCCATAACCTGTTTGACGAGTTTGTGTGAATGGACAGCAGAACAATGACAATGACGAATGGTAAAGTATCAATAGTTTCAAAAGATAGGAATTTATGTTCATATAATGGCAGTTTCTGTATACTATGGAAAACAGAGTTTTAACTTAAAACAGACGACATGATGCTAATTGTTAGTTTGTTTATGGGTGGTGTGCAGAGAATATGCATACGTGTGGATGTTATGAAACCTAAATAAATCGACTGCTTTGTATCTCATTCACCTCCTCTTTATTTCTCTTGGCCCACACGTGTTCTACCATCAGCGTTTTTGTAACCACATACAGCAAATAGCAACAAAAAAAAAAAATTTTACATTGACTTGAAAAAAAAAATTGAAAAGTTACCTAAATAGCAGCGATGTAGTTAACAAGAAGCTAATTTATAAGCACAACACACTTCGTTCGGGCGAAGAGGGATGACGAATGTGTCAACATGTCACTCGAAAAAAATTGCGAGACAATACCGCCGGAAGGAGATTTTTGAGCATGCGCAGAGATAGACGATATTTAATTTTCTGTCATTTCGGTACGTTTGCTTTTTTATGTCTTGCTTAATGAGGGGCACGCAAGAAAAAAAAAGATGCTAGTAAATACACATACAAACACACACGAGAGAGAGAGAGAGAGAGAGAGAGAGAGAGAGAGATGAATAGAAATTTGAAGAGTACTCATTGCCCATTTCGGCTTCAAAATTCTTTCGGTTTTCGTAAACAGTCATTATTGAATAAGTTTGTTGCGATAAAAAGAGAAGTCAGAATCGATTATGGGAAGATACGAGTAAAAGAGTGGTAAGGACGATTATGACAATATCAGTAAAAAAAGGAAAGAAAATGATGGCCATAATGAAACCTGTGAAGATTGGATAATAAGGACCGTAGCTGTGATATGGTAATAGAGGCGAGAATAATTGAGATCTTCACAGTGATATCGGTTTAATTATCGTTGTTGGGGAGATATTCGAGAGAGACGGCTGCAGCTATGATGAACATGCAGGCTATTGACATGTGAGTACATTTCTCACTTTGCGTTGTAAGCATTTGGTTTTATGCCAAAATTTGCCCAAAATTGTTTAAGAAGGTTGTTATTCTCTTAATTTGCTTGATAGATAGATAGATAGATAGAGAGAGAGAGAGATTAACAGAATGAGATAGATAGATAGATAGATAGATAGATAGATAGATAGATAGATAGATATGAACAGACATAGAGAGAGAGATGAACAGTGTGAGGTAGGAAGAGAAAGAGGGAGAGAAATGAACAGACTGAAATAAATAGGTAGATAGAGAGAGAGAGTGAGATGAACATAGATAGATAGATAGATAGATAGATAGATAGATAGATAGATAGATAGATAGATGAACATACTGAGATAGGTATATAGAGTGAGATATAAACAGACCTATATATATATATATATAGAGAGAGAGAGAGAAAGAGAGATGAACAGACTGAAAAAGAGTGATTTGAAGAGATTGAGATAAAGATAGAGAGAGAGAGAGAGAGATGAACAGACTGAAAAAGGGTGATATGAAGAGATTGAGATAGATAGATAGATAGATAGATAGATAGAGAGAGAGAGAGAGAGAGATAAACAGACTGAGATAGAGAGAGAGAGAGAGATATTGAGAGAGAGTGATAGTCCGAGAGAGAGAGATATGAACAGACTGAAATAGATAGATAGATAGATAGATAGATAGATAGATAGATAGATAGATAGATTTAACAAAGTTTCCACACAAGGGCAAATTGTAAAACACCCGGAACTAACTACCAATGTCTTGTGAAGTTAACCCTCTAACAGCAGTCGTCATGATGGTACATGATGATGATGATGATGATGATGATACATGATGATGATTACTTGTAGAGATAATGTGTCAATCTAAACGGTGCTAATGAAGGCGACGATGGTGGAGATAATGATGAAAAGTGATTAGACTCACGACTGGATATTATAATAATGTTGATGGCGTCGAAATATCGTTTGTGATAGCGGAGGTATTGATGGTATAGTGGCGGTTGTTTTAATGGTTAATGGTTATATGGAGATTAGTCATTTCCTTGCATGGAAACATTCGGTATTTATTGCCCGGTCAGCCAGTGCTACTTAGGGTTAAAATTTATAAGAATCTTTGTCTTAAAACATTTTTTTTAAGAAAATAGATTTTTCCAACCTAGTAACTGTTATTGTTCTTTCCACTATTGATGGCGGATTGTTTGAAATAGTCTGGAATGTCAATATTACAATTATGTCATTAGTTTCTCTACGAGTTACATGTGCTATCCATTTTAGTTGTTGCTACTCTTGAAAGTCCTCAAGTGATGTAGCTTCTATTATATGCTACTGTTCTTTGCGATTGTGTAGCGCCAGTTCACATGGTTCAAAGAAGGATGGTCTATTGAAAGGGGTTTCTTTCTAATGGAATGTCAGTATCTTCATTATGTCATTAGTTTCTCTTCGAGTTACATGTGCTATCCATTTTAGTTGTTGCTGCTCTTGAAATTCCTCGGGTGATATGGCTCCTTTATTATGCTACAGTTCTTTTCGATTGTGTAGCGCCAGTCCACAAGATTCAAAGAAGGATGGTCTTTGCCAAGACACTCATGCTTCAATATTTCCTCTTTGACTTACATATGCTATCCATTTTAGTTGTTGCTTCTGTTGAAAGTCTTCAAGTGATGGTACTTCTGTTATTTAGTACAGCTCTTTGTTTGCGATTGTGTAGCGTCAGTGGACGAGGTTCAAAGGAGGAGTGTCTTCTCTGAACCTACAGGGTTCATGCTCTCAAATCCATTTTTAATCATTGATCCAAGAAAGCTGTTTTATACAGTTGACAGTTTAACTATTTCTGAACTGGTTGGATGCCATTAAGGTCAACTACATTATAGTCCAGTTGTGGCTAATGTTGAAAGTCCTCAAGTGATTATAATTAGCGTCGATGCAATGCTTTTATCATCATTGATAACTGAATGACAAAATGAGAATAAAAAGCTATGTAACGCGTTTCGACCTCCAAAAGGACTTCATCAGACTAAAGTGATGCTCTTATTGATAAAATTACATATTTGTAGGTTATAAAGCGAGAGGAAACACTGAAGATGTAGAGATGCTGAATTTGAAATGTCTCTTTTTTTGTTTTTGCACTGATGTAAACCAGATATGTTTCCTTTTTTACTCGAGTAGTAAACTAGATTATGTATACATTTCTGCTAATCGAGCGAAAACCAGACTTATTCCTTTAATTTTTACTCGTGTGTAAACCAGAACTATATCTATGTTTTTGTTTTGTTTTTTTTTTTTACTTTAGTGTAAAACAAACCATTGTCTCCTTTTTTAATCTGATATAAACCAGATTTCATTAATTTTATTCTAATGTAAACTTTGTCTAGACTTTTTACTCACGTGTAAACCAGAACTATGTCTACTTCTTTCATACTAGTCTAAACCAGACATATGTCTATTTTTCATTCCAGTGTAAACCAGACCTATATCTACTTTTTTTATTCTAGTGTATACCAGAGCTTTATCTACTTTTTTTTATTCCAGTGTAAACCAGACCTATGTCTATTTTTTATTCTAGTGTAAACCAGAACTATATCTACTTTTTTTTATTCTAGTGTAAACCAGACCGATATCTCGTTTTTTATTTGAGTGTAAAACAGACCTATATCTGCCATTTTTATTCTATTGTAAAACAGCACTATGTCTACTTATTTATTCTAATGTAAACCAGACCTATGTCTAATTTGTTTTATTCCAATGTCAACCAGATCTATGCCTATTTTTTTATTCTAGTGTAAACCAGATCTATGCCTATTTTTTTATTCTAGTGTAAACCAGACTGATATCTCGTTTTTTATTTGAGTGTAAAACAGACCTATATCTGCCATTTTTATTCTATTGAAAAACAGATATGTCTACTTATTTATTCTTTGACCTATGTCTAATTTGTTTTAAATGTCAGATCTATGCCTATTTTTTTTATTCTAGTGTAAACCAGACCGATATCTCGTTTTTTATTTGAGTGTAAAACAGACCTATATCTGCCATTTTTATTCTATTGTAAAACAGCACTATGTCTACTTATTTATTCTAATGTAAACCAGACCTATGTCTAATTTGTTTTATTCCAATGTCAACCAGATCTATGCCTATTTTTTTATTCTAGTGTAAACCAGACTGATATCTCGTTTTTTATTTGAGTGTGAAACAGACCTATATCTGCCATTTTTATTCTATTGTAAAACAGCACTATGTCTACTTATTTATTCTAATGTAAACCAGACCTATGTCTAATTTGTTTTATTCCAATGTCAACCAGATCTATGCCTATTTTTTTATTCTAGTGTAAACCAGTCATATATCTACAGTGTTTATTATGGTTTGAACTAGACCTATGTCTACTTTATATTCTGGTTTAAATGGGTTTTTATTCATTGTAATTTATGGCATTAAAGCCTTATATTCAACGTTAAATAACACAGCAACGATTGATATATTGTTAAATTAGCCAACCTAATCTAACCTAATCTGTTAACGAAAAAGACAGTCATTTTGATAGACATAAAACAGATCTTAATCATAACGATGGCCATTGTCATCTTCAAATAAACAATGTCGGATAATTTAACTGACTTCGAAAATTACATCTCGAGTAGGAATTTCGTCATTACAAACACGATGTCAGTGATTGTGGCATCAAGTACACAACTCTCCCTGACACCTCCCCATTCCATCATCCCGAACCATTAACTGATCCTTTATTTGTGTTGCCCCACCCTCTTAACTTTCACCCACTACCCACTCCACCAGATCTCCTCATTTTTTTAACCTCACTCTGCACTAAAATTCAGATTTTCTGCAAAATACGCAATGTTTTTGCGAGAAGAGAAAACAACTGGTTAGGCGCCATGCAATAAAGAAATGGTTAACAAATTTATTAAGCTAATCACTGCTAAGTAAGTTCGATTCTTACTCGCTGCCCAGATTCGTACAAATATGTATATCAAAATGTACACATTAAATTGATTTTTTAATTTTTTTTTTTAAATCGATGCAATATTTTTTATATTATTGGTAACTGAATGACAAAATTGAAAAAAAATTAGGTAACGCGTTTCGTCCTCCAAAAGGACTTCATCAGCCTAAAGTAATGCTCTTCGGGATGGAATTATATATATATGCGGAGATGGGAATATAAAAGTGAACGACGGTTACAATTATACAGCTTAGTCGATATTTTCAGTTTCTCAACACTTCTGTTTTTGTTTTTATCATAGTTATTTTAAAATTTTATACATAAATATTTTAGAGTACGAAACACGTTACATAGAATTTTTATTTTGTCATTTAATTTCTGAACATTGTTCTGATATATAAACATTTATATATATATATATATATATATATATATATATATATATATATATATATATATATATATATATATATATATAGTCTTAAGATGTGCTATATTTATGGGATAAAGTGCTCAATATCAGAGATAGACTGTGTGTAAATATAAAAGTGAACATAGAAGTCAACACTTAGAGACGACAGTCTGTTTCATGCTAGATGTAATCGTCAGGCCAGGCGATTGCGCCTAGCATGAAACAGCCTGTCGCTCTAAGTTTTGACTTCAATGTTCACTTTTATATATATATATATATATATATATATATATATATATAAACCCTGCGCCTCAAAGATGAAGAATTGACTTGAAGCGTCGAATATGTGATTCCGTTGGACGAATACTAAGAATACTATAGACGGAACATGTGAACAACGAGGAAGTCTTGTGGAAGATAGAGTCAACGATCAGAGGGAGAGAGAGAGAGACTCACTTTGTGAGGAAAGAAGGCTTAGAGAATTTAATACAGACAGGGCATACCGAAGGTAAAAGAAGCAGAAGAAAACAACGTGTAAGCTGTTTACTCGTCAAGTCTGGCACAGTGATGTAAGCAGCGCCATTAACCCTGTGATCCTGAAAAAACAACTGGTGTAGTATAACATTTCTTTCAATGCTCACAACACCAAGACCATCACAGACGACGTGAACTTAATATGCATCACCAAGACTACTACTGCGGAAGTCGCGGAGAGCCATCTATTAATTTGGCTCATGAAAGTCGCTACCTCTAAGCCGCTGCGGTTAGCGAGTAGCGCCACTAGTATTACATGTTTTTCAATTTCTCTATAACCTTGAGAGAGATACCATGTTAATGTTCTCAGTAAGAAAAATGCGAATGTTAAAATTTGACGCATGCCGCGTAGCAATGCGTTTGACCGGCTTCCCTTTATAGTCCGTTTATGATGAGTTCTCAAATACCTGGTGCACATCCCGTATCCGTTTCTACTATGAACGAAGCTTAGCTCGGATCTACAAGTAGGAACGATGGTGACCTCTCGTGTCAGCGGATCGAATAACTCGTTCTGAGGCCAACAGGCTTACCGGGTGTTAATCCAAGCTCAAGAAGAACGAACTCCGACCCATAGAGTCTTTGATCTAGAATTAAATTCTAGAGGTCATCGCTCTAAGGTCACAGTGAAATTTGTACGCTTTGCAATAGATTTCTAATGTAAGCGATAACGTGCGTCGGTAGACATCGGCTTCTCTGTTAATGTACATTCGTTGCAATGTTGTTTACTCGTCGAAGACAAGTCTGGTACAAGGTTGTTAAAAATATTCGACTGCAGAGTTCTCTACACACAGAACCAAACATTACTCTACAATTTTATACAACTATTCTGTAGCGGAGT